ATATATATATATATATATATATATATATACAATCATATATATAATTCTTTATATAATCATACACATGGAAAGAATACTGAAAAGACACGAAAAGAATAATAAAAATTATAATTTTAGTAGTCCGGGAATAGACTGGCATTATTACGAAAATTATAATAAAATAAAAATGACCGTAAACATAATAATTTTATTATATATTTCATAGTAATTTTTACTATGTTTATCACTTTTACTATACCTTATTATAATTTTCATCATAATGTCAGTCTATTCTCGGAATATTAAAATTGTATTGTAATTTTTACTGCACACAATATATTCTCTCCGTATACATAATCATTTTCTCCCGGACATAGGCCGCGATCCGCTCCCAACGGCCGCGAGCGTCATTCTATCTTTGTTTAACATCTAATGAGCAACAAAGATAGAATGATGCTCACGGCCGTTGGGAGTAACGGATCGCGGCCACAGTCAGCTAATGTTTACGATAACGTAAACACAAAAAAGCAAAGCGGCCCGTCAATGCTTTCTCGATGTATACATTCCATTACCGGCAGTGATAAACACAGCGCGCGTAACCTTGACGGGCCGGAGCTCTCCGAGATCACAGTAGTTCTTTCGCTGCCGCTGGCGAAAGAAGACGCGAGTGATGCGTGCGCGTTATCCGCGTTATTCAGAGTGAAACGCGAATTAGCACGCGACGGGGATGACCGCGAGGGGTGTTCGGCGCGCGTGATACGAGAGCGCGGGCGAGGGCGGCACGCGCGGAAAGGGGCAAAGGGTGCCGGCCGGTTATCAGAGGGGTCGGAAACGCGGAAGCGCGCCAGTCGACGGCGAGACTTCGCCCGCGCAGCTTCCCTCTTTCTCTCTCACTACCCATCTCCCCTCGCTGTCATCGAACGTCGTCTGTCGGCTCGCAAAAGTCGCCTCCGTGATAGAATCTGCGTCGCGCGAGCGACGCGGATAATTCGCTTGTCCACGCGTGACGTCCTCGCGCAGGACACCCGGCCGGGAGTGGAGCAAGAGTCACGTGGCGATCGCGTGGACGACGCGGGACGATCGAGGGTGACCGTCGTCGCCGAGAGAGTGGAGGATCCTCGTTGACGGGCCGTTGGATGTAGGAGGAACCGAGGAACCATGACGAGGACGACGCGCCGATTTCTACTCCTGCTGCTGCAGATGCTGATTAGTGGTGAGTCACTTTACATTGTGTCTTTTTTCCTGGAAAACACGCGTTGATATCGCGTGACGACCGCTTTTTCGCGCTGAACACGCATGATAATCAGTCACCAAGCATATCCTTGCGATTTTAATGGTGTTGTTAGATCGTTACCAACGATCTGCGATTTTTCCCTGTGCTATTTGCCTCTGTTGCGTGCGAAAGAGAGACGCGACCGCGAGTGTAAGTTGACAGGGGAAAGCACGCGACCGGTGACACAAACTTCACTTGATTTTGAGTTATGGTAAAGAGTGGGTGAAATAAATCATCGGCAATTATTCAGTGTGACAGAGTCGACGTTCTCGCGCGAGCCGGGCGCAATGGACGTTAGACGGGAAAACTAATGAGGTCGCCGTTATTTAAATAATACACGCTTGCCCCGGCGGCACGCATCGAGGTCGAAACACGGTATCGGCAGCGCGAGCGCGTTTTAACGAGTTTGTAAATCAAACATGCGCTTGGACTTGTTTGGCGAGCGCGGGTATCAAAGGTCGGCGATGAAAATTTACTCCGCAAACACACCCGCCGCTGCGGCTGACAAAACGTCGCGCCCTACATAAGGTGACAAATTAAAGTCGATTTGCGAAATAAACTCGCCGTGTTGTACAATCAAGCGGACAAATGACGCGAACGTGTCGCGCCTGTATTTGTGTCTGGTCTTTCTTTCTCTCTTTCTTCCTTTATTTATCTTTCTCTCCGTTCTCCGCCCCGTTCGTTTTTCACTCTTGCCCGACGTTTGCTCCCCCGTTGGCGTCTCGGGCCGATGCGATTCCTCGAAACGCCTCACGACTTGTTGAGCCACCGCCGACTCGCGGCGGCTGCGAAGCAGCAAGCTTGTGCTGCATTTGCACCCGACGAAACAAAGATTCCCGTGCACGGGGGCGGAGATACGCGCCGAGTTTCACGCCGTGGAGGAAAGTGGATTGATTTTCTTGCACGGTCGAAGTCCGTATCAGCATTTTCTCAATCAGTTGAGTGGTTCGCCGCGGACGCGGCGAACGTCGCGACGTTTGCCACCGACGCGCGTTACAAGCGTGCTCTTAAGAAATACAATAGCCGCTTTCGGAGAGTCGTTCGAGCGAACGCGCCTCGTTGGTCCTACGTACGCGCGTCTTTCACACACACACACACACACACACACACACACACACACACACACACACACACACACACACACACGCGCGCGCGCGCGCGCGTATGCGCACCATCCGATTCGATGGACCGCGCCAGCCGATGTCGTCGCCGTGTGAAATCGGGAAAGCACTCGGAATATTAAAGGGAGAGGGGTGGCGGTCTATACGTGAACAGATACACGTGTATAACACACGTCCGTCAGTTTGCTGTTGCTGCGCGTGTATCGTTCTTTTTTCTCTCTCTCTTTCTCTTTTTTACGTTATCGAAAAACAGAAACCGTTTGCGTCACGCGTCGTAGCAGCGGATGCGGAAAAATGTATAATCCGCATTTCTGGCGTAAGAGTGTTACGTGCGAAGTATCGGAAAATAGGCGACGCGGGACGAAAAATAGAGCACGGCTGCGATTTGCGACGATACGCGCGCGGGGCGAATCGCCGTCGTCGCTTTCGCGCTTTCACCGATAGGTCTAATGTTTTTCCTCTCCCGCTCGTGATAACCCGCGAGTTTTCGAGCTGTGCCCGTTTTGCGTGTACAATATTGTTAGATTCTCGCGCGTTAAAGTCGCGTGGACTGTGCCAAGTTGTCGTCGTCGTCGGAGGTTTTCTGGGTCGCGTAATTGCGATCGAAATAATTCAGCGAGGAGGATGCATTCGCGCTGAAAAAGTTGCGAGCTCGCATCTCATTTTCGCGGTTGAATCGCGAAAAATGCCCGCCCCGAGAGAACGCCCGTCTCTTTGCGCGCCCTCGAAAAAGACACGTTTTCGCTCTTAATGTCTCTCATTCGCCGCGGGTAGACGTTTATTTCGTCTTCCGTTCCGGTATGCCTCAAAGCTTTTTGAATTTCTCGTTTGCGAATGGAATATGACATTCGGGGTCAATGAGAAAGAGAGAAAGAGAGAGAGAGAAGGGGGGGGGGGAGAAAGAACCGGTAACGAATTACCAGAAATTCGGCGGATGGAATCGCGCAGCTTTATGGCGTTGTGCTCGTCTGTCGTTATTTGTCAGCCGCTTTTCGCGAGTGTGGTAAAGTCCGCGAGATCTCGTCGATTTTTAAAAAACTTCTTCATGCATTTTTTGCCTTTCCACGAGCGAGAAATGTTTCGCAGTCTGTATTCTAATCGCGCATTCAGCGGAATATGCGGTCGTCTCGTTCTGAAATATCATTGTATACTCCCTAAGTCTCTTGAGTTGAAATTCCATTCGAAAAAATAGGATGACTATCTAGTCACTCAAATTGGAGTGATTTTTTACTAAAACATGAGGTTCTTTACTTTGAAACCGTGTTACTAGGTATTACTTGAAAACTATCTCAGACGAGATAGAACTCAGATTATACTCAGAATATTTAGAGTTTGCTGTTAGAATTTCTCAGTTAAGTCGCGATTATACATACATAATATCGCATATATTATATATAATTCGAATAAAAAATTTAAATCTAACTCTAAATTCAGATCTGAGTATCTCACATGGGAGAAGTTTTAAGTTACGACTATTAAATAAGGGCCGGTTAAATATTGAGTGAACATCGAAATCGTGAGTCGAAATCGAAGACTAAATTTGATTTATTTCATTATCACAAAAAATATATGGGCATTAATCAATTGAAACATTCACTTATATGAAATCTGAATCTATTCTAAACTCGAGTGAAACACTCACTCTTGCGATTTCGCGTGGGCAGATTTTCACAATCATCTAAAGTAAGAATATTGCCACTTTTTCAAAACTATCACATTTAATGCAATAATTAGGAAAATTTTCCGATACTTATATTCAGTGCAAAGTGCATGAAACGTTTTTGTCTCTATGTCGGGATTATCCTCCCGAAGATCTTCTACAAAGACCGGGTCTTTACGTGCATCGAAACGTTCCTTGAATTTTACTCTGATTGGAAGTCACTACCTCTCTCCCTCTCCCCCTCTCTCTCTTTCTGTCTTTCTTTTTGCGAATTTGTGCCTGGCTATTCGCGATTCAATTCTGGAAATGAGAAGCGAATGTCGTTTGCCCACGCGTTGCGGCATGTTCGCCAAACGCGAACACATTTTGCCCGCGATGTTGAACTTAATTATTTCCACCCGAATTGTTTCGACTGTGTGCGATTGTCCGCAAAGCTTATAATTAACGACCACCTTTAAGATTCTCGTGCACAAATTTCGGTAACCGTACACTGTTAGAAAACTTCGCATTAAATTTAATAACTGGGATGTGAAGTTTTTTTACATAACTATGTTATAAAAAAAGTAATAGTAAAATCAATATTATATTTAATAACACGTAGTTATGAAAAATCATAATCAGCGATCAAAATCACAATATAGTGATGCATATTGATGATACAATATAGCGATGCATATTGATGATGAATGCAAATTAAATTTTTTTACACACGCGCGCGCATGTATATATGTACTTGTATATACATAATGTATGTACATATATTTGTATATATATATATATATATATATATATATATATATATATTATAAAAAATGGCAAAGGTCCCACCACCACCCCCGTCGTATTTTCTGATATACGACGGTCCTCTTTATTGATTACATGTTATTAAAAATTTATGTGTTCTATTTATTGTTTATCGATTTTCTTTAAGAAAAGTATATAAATATCTTTAGTACCTCTTGTCTTTTTTTAATTTGCATATCATCAATGCGATACAACTTCTGCGATAGCATAAAGGAGAACCGATGAAGAGACTTCTGGATAACTCCGTTGAAATCTCGATAAAGGTCATGATGCTTTGCAAGTTGAATCTTTCAGGCCACGTGACCGAAACAGTCTCGTATTTATGATATATTAGAAAAATTATTCTAACATATAACGTGTTATAATATTTCATGATTTAATATGGAATTTAATAAAAAAAAAATAGAGTATAAGACAGAAAGTATTACATTTCATAAGAAATATAAAATAATTAATTTATAACTAATAATCCTAATGTTATGAAAATCTTCTTCATCATTATTATTAATTTTAATATTAAATTCTTAAATTTACTTACAAAAATGCTATTATTTTTAAGAACTTTTCTAACAGTGTAGACATAAGACGGAAATAAATGATAATGTAACTAGAACGTAGACTGAATAACTAGAATTTCAACCAGTTGAATTTTACTTCTGCATAACATTCGGTTTTATCGTCAATTCCATCTTCTTCTAGAGTACGCAAAGATAAAACAATATCCTGATTGGTTCTTCAGTTTAAGTTCACGTCTTACAAAAATTTGTGTGCGGGAGCCCTTAACGCGTGGCTGGAATGCGATTCTCTTTTTTTGTGTGCTATTCACGTTTTATGTAAACGCCCACTAAACGAGCGCGAGAGTTTTGCTCCCTCGGGCAGCCTGAAAAGATTTTCTCCTAGGTGGCCTTAACTTGCGCGCTGTCAGCGATCTTGATGACGTTCGCTCGGATGTCCAAGCGACTCGTCGCACACGGCGTGCTGTACGTGTGCGAAGGCGGAAACGGCGCGAACGAAACAAAACGCGAGAAAAAAAGCGGCGCCGTTAACCCAGTTCCTTCGCTATCAATCATCACGCGATATTCCGCGGCACGCTGGGCGCTGATAGAATTTCTGATGGAAATTGAAGAAAGATAGTCGTGTCCTCTCTCCCCCTCCCCTTGACGTCGGGATTATATCAAATGCTTCCGGAAAATCTCGTGTTGACGCAATAATTTTGTGGGCAACATCGGAAGGGAGGGGAGGGGAGAAGGTGGATCTTGGAAAAATTTGGCAAAACATTTTTTAAGAGTTTCGATGTTACACGCGTCGGTAAACCGACGATCTCGATAGCCTCCTGAAATTTTATTAGAATAGAA